GAAGAACCAATGCCAGTCATCGCAAAGGATGGACGGACTGATGATCAGCCACACTCTGGCTTGTCCACCTCAGACTACAGTGGTGGCCATGGTCAGCCCCCCTACACACTCCTCTCCCATGACTTGGATGCATCTCAATTTTGCAATGATCTGGCCTGGAGCAGCTTGGGGGAAAAAAATCATTCTGCTAAATGCTGTGTAAAGTAATGACACTGAGAGAAAACTTGAAAGTCTACAAGGATATTCTGGATGCTCGCCATGAATAATTGCCATGTTGGGACTGGCAACTAAAACAGCAATGCAGAGATATTTACCCAATTTTCATAAAAACTATTATGGCTTTATTTTCAAAGCAAGTAACTACAGAGCTGTGTGGCTTGTCGGTAAATGTTCAAGTGATTAACTGAGAAATGTGGAGGTGGGTGGAAGAAGGCTGTTAGGCATACAAATTTGAGAAAAACAAAATCTAGAGAAGGATGTTTTTTGAATTGTGAAAGCTAAAAGCATTTTGGTCTCCAGAATGATGTTCCATATAAGAGTGCTAAGTCCTAGACCCCAGGAGAGAAGAAAGGGAACATTGGCACATCTGTTTCAATGGTTATTTTTGAACATGCCCAAAGTTAGGTTTTCAAATTCGGGTTTCCTTAGTTAAAATCCTGGCGCAGGGCAAAAGCCAGTTGCAAAGTCAAAGTGCATTTTTTTAGAATTAGCCCTGTTTGCAGGGTGGGAAGCCTCCTTGCCTTTCTTGCTTGCAGGCCTGCCCTGCCCTCTCCTATCCCTGGGGGAATTCTCTCAGCCCAGACCAGGGCCTGCAGGGCCAAAGCACAGGTTTGGCAATGGAGCTGCCAGAGCATCTGTGGGAGTCAGGGAGGGAGTGGGTCATCCTGGGCGAGGTCTGGGACACCTATCCCACTGCCACTCACAGCCTTGCCTGCGAAACTCACTGCAAAACTTACCATCTAGGGTAAAAACAGTAAGGAACTTACACTAGGCTACAGAACCTGGCAACCTCAACAAAACCCTCTGTATCGATACTACCAATGGCTGTCTTCTGGATCCACCTTAGAATTCTTGATAAATCCATCCCTACGACCCTCACTGTGGGACCACTGGTGCCACCGCCCCCTCTATATAGCCGGGAAGTGTCAGAGCCGAAGTTAAAGCCAGGTCTGGCTGTCTCCAGAGCTTCTGACCTTACATACTCTGTTTTATCATGTATCCAGAGTAAAACACCTGGCTTTCCTGCTAAAAACACTGGAATGGGGCACATCACAGAACTCCATTTTACTACTGGCCGTGTTCATTAAATATAGGCACTCTGATCTCTTTAAAAAAAAAAAAAAATCAGGGAAGGATATGCCTTCCCCTCAACCAGCTCCCAGTGGGTGTGTCCACTTTTTCAAAGGGCCCCCAGTGCTCACTTCTCTATAAAGACATCTAACTCAACCCACGTAATAGGGGAGAAAAGACCACTAATACAAACAGAATTTTAGATTTTTCCAGGGAAAAGCCAACTCGACTCCACAGGGGTATTTTGCTTTTGCCTTTGTTTTTGTTTTTGTTTTGCCTTCTCTGAAGCCTGTTTTGGATCTGTGGGGAAATGTGTAAGTAAACGGCATCCTGGAAGGATGAAGTAAACATGACCACATCTGAGGGTCGGTAATTTAAGACAGGGCACTGTTTTCCTACAGACAGCATTTCGTTCAGCTTTCTAAAAAAATGCTTTTAAACTCATGGTCTAAATTACTTTCTCTAAAAAAGTGACAGTGCTTTTGAGATATGGCTAGAAATATTCCATTCCTATCTCCATGACTATTTCTACCATGTGAAAGACATTCTCCGATGATTTGGAATCAGTATAAAATTAACATTAATAATAACCCATGCAAAATCCTTTTGTTTAGTAGCACTTTAATGAAACAATAAATATTTATTGTTTGAAAATGCGAGATTAGAACATTGCTTCTTTTATTGGAAATCACTTCAAAAGATGGTTCTCTCCACTTTAAATTTGAGCTTTGCTGTATTTAGATTTTAAAAAATTGTAATATTAAAAATTTTTTTTGTAATATTAAATTTCAATGCTAAATTTCCCATAAAGTTAAAATGCTACAAAAATTTATTAATCATAAAATTTAAATGATGAAGGATTATGTCAATAAAGGTACAATTAATAGAACCATATCAGGCCTGAGTAAAAAAGCAATAGTTGTCACATAAAACATTACCACAAAATATTTGCAAAATGTCAACATAGTCACTTGGGTATTTTTCAAGTTGTAAGAGGTGGAGACTCGATTCATTTTTACAATAAAATTATTCTGGGAAAGAATGACACATGTTTTCTAGAGAAAGGTTCATTAGAAATAAAACTTAAAACTTCTGGGGCATGAGTTATATCCCTGTAATTCTGCAGCAGAAGTCTCTTCCCTCCAAACAGGATGCATCGTGTTTAACACATTAATTATCATCCTTCATCAAGCATAAAACTAACAGTCAGGAAATCCAGCTGCAGTGGCACAATTACCAACACTCAGAATACACCCTGCAGCAAAGAAAACAAATGGGTTGCTTTTCATTAACAGAGCTGGGCAAACCTCTCCAAAGACAATGTTTTCTTTCCAGCCAGAGTCCCAAAAGGCATTTCAGGGGCTATTTGCTCAGGTAAATCCAGAGAACAAATAAATGGTGAAAATATTTATTTGAATTTCAAAATATCCATTATCAATATATAGTGCCATTCAGAAGAAAATGACATTTTGAAAATGACTCAATCAAATCACAATCTTTTAAATACAAGGTATGTTTAAAAAAAATACATTAGTGCAAGAGGTTGCTAAGTCAGGTAATATCTTCATGCTTGCTGGTAATACACAAGGTATTAGTGATTTTCATTTTCATGTTTTGTGGCATGCAGGATGATATGTAATATGCCTCTATGTGGGCAATAATGAGCTGTGTGATAACAGGATTCTATTCTATAGGTTTAGGTCCATATAAAGAAAATAATTAGTGACTAGCTTGTGATTCCAATATAACATCATTGAAAAGACTAGATGAATAGCATTCTAGAAAAGTAATAACAGCCTAGTTTAGTTGGTTGATTACTGGACACTTAACATTCTTAATATTACTATAATTATATTATACCTCAACAGATATATTATTTCTACTGAGTTTATATTACAATTAAACCATAAACTGTTACATAAACCATAATTTAAGGAAGACTCTGGGGATATAAAAGGCAATGGATAGTCATGTGCCCAAAATATTTGTAATTATATCCTGAACCAGTGCCATCAAACTTTCACGAAATTCTCTGCCCAGAAATCCTCTAACATAATCAGCTTGATCCTCTCTGCAGGATAAATATCATGGCAACAATTAAAGAGCCATATTTTCCTCAGCACAGGAGGCCAGAGCGACACATAAGGATTCTTCCATGCTTGTGGCACAACTTCAATTTCATAGTGTGCTTTATATGCAATTAACTCAAACCTGAACTTCTTTTAAATCGTCTTTGCAGAAGGCATCATTCCATCTTCCACCTAGCTGATTTATGTACAGTTGTCTTTCAAAAGACAAACTCTGAAACTGTATTTATTATAAAATAAAATCTGATGCACATACACACCCTAAAACCTAAAACTCTCTGCCTTATCAAAGAATAAGTGACGGGATTCTGTTCAGGCCTGTATAAGAAATGTGAAGAGTGTGAGTTGTGATAATTTTAATCAACATGGCTTGGTCAGGATAGCTGCTTCCTAAGGTGATAAAAGTGAGTAATAAATTATGGGGAAGGAATACAGTCCTACCAACAATGGTAATATTGATGATGTGATAAGAAAGGCTTTGGGGTCACTGGATACAAACATTTGGCTGGACAAAGGAGGATACCTAGGAAATAAGAAGTCCCTCCCCTCAAGTGCTTCAGTCCAGCTGACAGAGCAAAAAAAGGGGCACATTCTGAATCCGGTTACCATGCAGCATGTCAGCGAGTGCCAATAAATGAGCAAATGACCAGCTGACGGGAGGATTATGAAGAACAAACTTCACTGGCCAGATGTCCTGTCTGGAGTCAGGGCAGGTGCATCTCAAGGTGAGTGAACTATTTTGGGTTCCTCTTGGGACTTTCATTTAAAGGGCCAGGGTCTTAAAGGTTTCTGTCTTAGTACTTTTATAGATGCAGTGACATTATAAACATTTCAAAATCAGAGAGGTGTTTTAAAGCAAAAAAAAAAAAAAAAGGCTTTTTAATGTTTTCTCAAGCAAGGTGATGAGTCATTTACAAATTGCCTGAAGAATTAGAAGGAAGGTAATTTCAAGGTATTAACAAGTTCTTTCCTGGTCTTTTTTCCCCCCAAAGATATGACCTGGCAACAAAGTACCTAGTGTTCTCTCATTCTCAAAATCCTTTTGGAACCCAAGTCACTTCCTTCTCGACATGCATTCTCCCTCAGCAACCAAAATGATTCCACATTCAGTTGCAATCCTGAGAATCAGATATTTGCATATATCCCCTTTAAGTTGAGAAATCACTGAGTTTAATGTTGCTTTTTCGACTGGAAAATATTCCTGTAGTCTTACAGGAATCTAATTCTGTATTAGATGATACTCACAGAATAAAATGACATTTGTCAGAAGTAACAGAGGAAAGAAAAATACCTCTTCAAGTGAGCATATTTGAATAATTAAAAAGTTATGGAGTATACTAGACTTGTACAATCTTCCCTTTAACAAAGTCAAACAAGTCATTTAAAGAAGCAGGACCAGTCCCCACAATTCACCTTCCACTAATATGTACCCCAAGGTTCCAGCTGTGTTTTTGTATTGCTGTGACGAACACTTATGCAAAAAAAGACTATACTAGGGGACATAGTTCCCTCTTTGACATTGGGAGTCTGTTGCAGTAATGATGATTGCTGCCATGGACACTCTGATGTAAACAAAACATTACTTTTCATAAGATTTTCTAATGGCTTCTCTAGCTTTCATACCTTTAATGTAGTGAATTCATATGGTTGATAACCTTTGAAGCTCTCGTGGATGGCTGCCATAGTGTGAGAAGTTTTCTCCCAAAAATGAAGCAGGGTGGTCTGTAAGGAAAGACAGTACAGCTATTAATGTTTCGAATGCCCAGATCTAGCCACAGGCCCTGGAGAAGGGTGCCCACATAGGATTCCAACTCACCTCTGCAGGCTTGTTTCCCATTATGCCCCTCTTTATACCTCGTATTTCAGCCAAACTCAATGCTTCCCAGTTCCCCCAAATACTGCCTCCCATGGCTAATAATGCTCCACCATTTTGGGATATTCTTCTCTCTGTTTTCTGTACTTGTCCCATGTGATCCATCCCCCAAAACCCAGGGATCATTACCAATCTGCTTTTGTGATCTCTCCGCTGATTCGATTTGTCCCTCTTTAAAATCTCATTGGATTTTGTAGAACTTATTTCACTGAGCACACACACCCTGCTTTCTCCTTGAAGTACAGAAAATATAGTCAGACTGTATGTACTATCTCTGATTTCCTTCTGAAACTTTAAGTTCCTTGAGGACAGGGAATTTGGTCTCATTAATTTTTATATTCCCTACAACACCCAGAATTTGGCCTCCCACACTCAGTTGGTGCCCAAAAGCACTGTTGTTGGATATGAGTACTATCCTGAAGGAACTCAGGCTAGAAGGAGACAAAAATTAATAGTTCCTTGAATTATGACAACCTGATGAGTAGGTGACTGATGGTGCCATGGGAAGTAGAGGCCACAACGGAGAGTGAATTCAGAGGAGGCTTTCTGAAGGACGCAATACTCAGACTGGTACGTCAAACAGAGGGGACTATGGAAAGGTACAATGGAGGGGAAAGGCACTCAGGCAGATGGAACCACCTAAGTTAATGCAGGAAAGTGAGAAAGCAGTGTGTGCACAGGAAATAGCTAATATTCAGTTTGAGTAAACTGTAAGTCTACTAGAAGGGAAAGGGGTGGAAAGTAAATTGTGAGCAAGACATTCAGAACTTCATAATGCCCAAACCATACTTTTAGCTCCAACACTGTCTTTCTGTCCCCCTAAACCTCGCAACATTCTTGGTTCACTATAACCAACATCACTTTGTTACCTGGTACGTTGCTAGCATATGAGACAACAGATTGCATCGGCTTGCTCCAAGAAGATCCACTTTTTGACACACATCCATCTTCAATTTGTCAAAGCTTTTTTTGGCAAGGCGTACTTGTGTTTGTACCTATGAAAGTAAAAGGGAGCTTTTGAACCACTCAGACTCTTAGGTGGTTAAAATTTGCCAGTGAGGGAAGACCCATAGTGGGCTTATCTCTCTCACACAAGAAAACACCTTTGAAAATTCCAGGCAAGCGAGAAGACCCTACAACATCCATTCTTTACCTTCAAAGGACTTCAACAACAGTACTGCATATGATGATTTTACAGCAGATGTGCCATCCTATTTGTCAGTCAAAAGTTAAAATTCCTCTCCTCTCAGAGCATTCACTGAGTAACCATGGTGGGGAGACATCTGGAAACATGCACAGTGGCAAAGGAATAACTTTCACCCTGTTGTTGTTTCCCTATATTTCTTTGAAGCTGATTTCTGGTATATTCTTCACTCAGCTTCACTAATGCTAGCATCTTACATAACACAGTACATTTGTTAAAAATAAGAACTCAACACTGACACAATCCTATTAGCTAAACAACAGACATTATTCAGATTTGACTAGATTTTCCATTGATGTCCTTTTTTCTGTTCCAAGATCCAACCGAGGATACCAAATAAGAGAACTGTGACACAGCCTAAAAAGCTGATAAACTTTCAAGTTTTTATTACTGAGTAAGTACACAAGCAATTCTCCCTCTACCCCTCAGCCATGTAGTAGCTCAAAATGGAGGTCAGTAAAAAATTCAGAAATGTCAATTCTATACATTATTTGATAATAAAATGGAAGCTTTTAAGGGGTGCCTGGGTAGCCCAGTTGGTTAAGCCTCTGACTCTTGATTTCATTTCGGGTCATGGTCTCAGGGTTGTGGATCGAGCCCCTCTTTGGGTTCCATGCTCAGTGCAGTCTTCTTGTCCCTCTCCCTTCCCTCTGCCCCTCCCCCCACTCATGCTTGTGCATGCTCTCTCTGTAAAATAAATAAATCTTAAAAAATAAAATAGGTTTTAAAAATAATACAGCTACTTTAAAAAGGGTGAACTCAAAATTTCTCCTTCCTCAAATCTGAAGCATCACCACACCATATGGTGTGGCAGGGAAAGTCAGCCAAATACCACTTTATTTCAGATAATTCATGCAGTTGTAGTTAGTAGGCAGATAACTGTTAAGTAATGGTAAGTAATTACTCTGGGAGTAATGCTGACTCTTTAGTGATAGTTCTTCCATCACAGGATACCAGGAGGCAAGGGTGATGTCTACCTTGATCACCATTGCATGTTCAGCACCTAGTGACCTGGTACAAAGCAGGCACTGAATACATATTTGGTGACTGAATGAAGAAATTTTCCAGGCCATTTCAAAAGGTAAAGTGCCTAAGTACCATTTTAAGGTATAACCTACAAAGTTGTTTTAGAAATGATTTTATTTTTTAATAAAAATAAACACAAAGATTATTGATATAAAACATTAATTTTTACCACTGATAATACTAGTTAGAGCCACAGCTTATAAAATTATAGGGCATTCTATAATAATAGCAACAATTGATACAACTGTTACCATTTACAACAATTTAACAATTGAAGCAATTTAACAATAGCTACAATTCACAATTAATACAATTGATACAATTGAACAATTAATACAATTCACTTACCACATGCCAGCCATTCTCTTTTAGCCTCTGTTATTACCCTCTCTGACTGCTAAGGGTAAGAGGATTCATCTGGGAAAGTAACTAATGAGCACGGCTGCCATTCTAGATTAGCCTGCCTGACTCCAAAGTCATACAATTCTGCCTCTCAAGCAACTTAACACTGGTCACTGGAAAATCAAGAGGCTCGGAATTATGATTCTACCCAGAAACCCAAGTTTTTCCTGTAGATTATATGGAATTGGAAAAAAATGAGCCAATGCATTTAACACCATTTTGATAGAACTAATATCCTGTATGAATAGGGTCTTGTATCTGTAACTATATAAAACATTTCCTAAGAATTCTTCTGTATCTTTGGTCTACAGGCCCAGGAAAACCAGAGAATAGAAGCCATCTAGCTGCTCCCAAACTGACCACACCATGAGCTTAAATAAATCCGGGAGCTCAATCATTTCCCACTGTAGAGTGGAGAAACTCTAGGCAAAGATGCCTGGGAGCACAGACTATAAAATGAATTTAGAATTAGTTAAAAGTAGTGATTTTCTATCTTCCTTTGAGAGAAATAAGGAGACACAAAAAAGAAAACCCAAGTTGCAGCTTTGCACAGTGGCAGTATCGTAGCCCATGAGTTTATCTGAGGCATGATTATTGCTAATTGAAAACCCAAGTTCCAGAGGGAAGAAATGGGAGAATGTGAAGAGAAAGGTGTCTCAAAGCATCTGAGAACCTCACTGCAAGCCCTCACTGGTTCACCAGTTGCTCAGGCCAGGAAGACTTCCTCAATGGGATCCTGAGAGGCATCTGTCTCCACCCTTTTCTTCAGAAGGGGAAGGAGATTAATATGGGTATGAACTTTCACATATGCATTCATTCAGCACATATTTGGTGAGCGCCTATTATGTGTCAGGACTAGTGCTAGGTACTGGGGCCTCTATAAAGGAATAAGTCTTGTAGCAATGGGTCAGTAAATACTTATGAATGAATGCACTTAGGAATAAGGACCCTCTAGTATTTTAGAGAAGACTAATTAGCAACTATATTATAATGCAATAGGAAAAATACAACAATAAAACTAAGAGTGCAGGATAGGGATTGATTAATGCTGGGGGTGGTGTAGGGCAGGGACGTAGGTTGATGTCATTAAAGCCCCAAATACTGGCCTCCCAGTATCCCCACTCTTTGCCCTTTAACTTTGTAGGCTCCTCCCACTCTGACTCGGGGCTTGGCATGTGACTTGCTTTGGCCAGTGCAATGTTAACAAATGTGATGAAACTGGAAGCTTGAAAAAAAAATGCTAGCATGTTTCCACTTTCTTGCTTCTCTGAGATGGCCATGAGAATATGCCCAGGCCAACCTGAGAATATGTCTAGGCTGGCCAGCTGGAGGGCTGTGAGAGTCTTGTGCATGCAAGAGACACAAGGAGGAGAGCCCAGTTGTCCCAACAGATCAGCCTTTGGCCAGCTGACCCAAAGAGATGTGGGGGAGGCCACCATGATGAGCAGAAGCCCTCCCTACCCTATAGCTGACCACAGACTCATGAGTGAGCCTGACAGAGACCAGAATTACCCTGCTAACCCACAGACTTGTAAGCAATAAGAAATGCCTATTGTTTTAAGATACTGAATGTTAGAATTGCTTATTTCACAGCATTATTGTGGCCACAGATAACGGATATAAATGATAAGCAGGTGGACAATAAAGGCTTCTGAGATGAGGCAGGGGGATATCTGAGCATGAATAGGAGTAAACAATAAATACAACGTATTCACAAGACTGGCCTGCTAATGGGGAGGTTCGAGATCTTCTAATTAAATGCAAATTAATTTGGGGGACTGTGGATTTTGCTTTTTCCTTTACGTAGATATTCTTTTATCATATAAGAAAACTTACTTCAGTTGCTTATAATACAAAGCTCATGCATTAATATCCTTTGAAATGTGCCTTAATTTATTTTGTTTAATTTTGTAAAGTAATTTTAGAAACCTAGAAGAAGACTTCAACATTTGACCCAGTGAGTTCTGAAAGGCCATATGCTTTGTGTGTCAACAATGATTATTAAAATACTTAATGCACTGCTGAGTTTCCAAATGTTGAGTCCTTTCCCTGCCAAACAAGGAGGATGTTACACTGTTGGGCATTTTGAATATGGTAAAGTTCATTTAATATTTTGTGCTTCATGTCTACTCTCTAAAACACATTTCCAGTCTGCAGCCCAAGGACAAAGCACTGAGGACACAGTCAAGCATAGGCCACCATCAAGAGTCCAATTTCATATGCCTCCAGATGCACTTAAGTGAAAAATGTTTTATTATTCCTTTCAATCCCAGATAAATTATATTCAATTACATAAACATCTTGAGGAGCTCCTGTGGTTCTCAAAGTTCTTTAAAAATATCTTCAGTCAAATAAATGTACCCTTTGTCTATTTTTTAGTTTTATTTCTGTTGCCCCACCTTTCTCTTCTTATTCTCTAAGCTCTAGGAAATGATCACGCATATTAAACTCCCTTTAGTGTGAGTCCTGCCTTCCCCAGGCTGCAGAAATTCAGTTTATCAGAAAAGGGAGCAATGTCTTCAGTGCCAAAACTACAGGGCATTTCTCTGTACTTATTTCTCCTAACCTGAAATTCTACCTCTTATAGCCCCAACTTGAATTACATATAGTGAAGTCAAAGCTATTCATCCTCTTATTTCAATCTGACTTCCCCATCCAGTGGGAAAGGTCTTTATATTACTCCATAACCAAATAATCTGAGAGTGGTTTTTAATTTTTTTTGTGTTTTCTTTCCTTTAAAAACAAAATAAAGCAAAACTACAATCCTACTCTTACTTTTACATTTTCTTCCAGGAAATGACTCTGCCTTCCACCATCCACCCATCCAATCATTTAGCAAATATTCACTGAATATCTTCTACATGCTCGTAGTAGTGAGTAAAACAGAGGTGGTCTCTGCCCTCATGGAGCTGACAGTCCAGTGGGCATTTTCACATCAGTGAGGGCATAATATCAAACCAAAGAAAAGCCCCACTGCCCCACAAGAATGATTTAGCAAGAATCTGACTAAGAGAATATTCTCCAAGAAAGCGGTGCTCAAATTCTATTCAGAAGAACTGAACATGATTAACTATGCAAGAATACTCCAGCAGAGAGAGGAGCATATGCAAAGGTCCTGGGGTGAGGGCAATAAGGCAGGTCCCTGAAAGCCAGTGTAGCTGGGTTGCTGAAACAATCAGAAGGATAGTAGGAGTTGAGGCAAGAGAGGTGGGCTGGGGCACATTCTAGTGCACAGTCCTTGGAGGCATATGCTTAGGATTTTAGTTTTTATCCTAAAAGCTGCAGAAAAACAATGGAGGTCTTTAACCATGGGAGAGACAGAATTTTATTTTCAGTTTGAAAAGTCTACTCATTATAGTATGA